AAAGAGGAGGGTGCTTTTCTCAAAGCAGGAATGTTGAATATACATCAACAATCAATAGCCATATCACAAAGTAAAGTTGATCCATACAAAAAGTTTGGGGTGCTTAGTTTAAGTTTCCAAAGTATGGTATAAAAGGAGGCTGACTATATACCCTTATTTTGACAGAGGTCAATCCAACAATGGAAATGATTTCAATCTACTGTGCAATATCATAAAGATGTTTAATTAGCTAAGCTCCGTTGTATGCCTGGGTTGCTTCTGCTGAGTTCAAGTCAGCTAAAAGAGGAGTCTTTCTCAGAAGTCATCTCTATCCTTGCTTTTGCACTTTAACAAAGAGGCCTTTCAAGCACAGATACCCAGGTCTATTCAGAGAATTTATTAACATTTCAGGGCCAGGTGAATATTTGCAAAATGTTTCATCTTTTACTGTATTTTTAGTCCTTCCCCATATGCTTTGCTCTATAGAATCATGTTAAGCCTGAGAGGAGTTAAGTTTATAAGAAAAACAAAGCTGGCTGGTGGGGTGTGGGCAGCACCATAATTCATACAGATGATCTCCAAATTGAACCAGTTTTTAAGAAATGAAATATGACAGCTTTGTGGGATCTGGTAAAAGTCGAGAAATTACAAAACAATACAAAGCACCATTATTGTTCACAGTAGGAAGGAGATTAATAAAACATTCCTTAATTGATGGTATACTGGCAGCAGGCTCACGCAAACTTGAGGTGAATCAGGAGAGACATGCAGTGAAGTGCCACGGTGTAATATAATGGATGACAAGAATAATGATATGAATACTAGAACAATAGTATAGTCTCTCTCTCTCTCCCCCTCCCCGCCCCCAGCCCTAGGAAAAAGCAAATACCAAACCACTCCCCAAAATTGTCAAGAAAACTATAGGGAGATGTCCTCGGTGCTCTCTGAGCTTGGTTGTTTTCTTGCAAACATTTCATTATCCAAACTAGGTAGCACTTGCCCTGTCAGTGTTGGTGGGAGTGATCTAGGAGGTTTTTTGGGCATTCCTACAAACACTGACAGGGCAAGCCACTAGAATATAAACTGAGAGCAAACCCCACTCCTTACTAGCGCTGATGATATTACCTAGTTTGGGTAATAAAATGTTTGAAAGAAAACAGCCAAGCTCAAAGAGCATCAAGGACCGCTGAATCCTGAGCTACAAATATTCTCCTTTATTGAAACTACAGGAACTAATCCAGGCAGTCACCAGGCGTTAATAGACCACCCCACCCCATCAGAAAACCTGTGGTGAGTCTATATTTATTCTGGAGAATTTTGGTTATCACATCATAAGAAAGTTATCATTGAACTAGAAGATACAAGTATGAGCAACCCAAATGATTAGGAAGTTCATTATCTCCCTGGCAAGAAAAGATGACAGCAACTGCGGCTTGAAATGAAGGTAGTTAAAAGAGAGAAAATATAAAATGATGCCTGCATAGACACTGTGGATGCAAAAACTTCTTTCCCCCTCTCTCACAACCCAACCCTATCTACTGGATGATGGATCATGGCTGATAGGAGATAGTTGTTCACCTGGCTTATTGTTCATCTGTGAAATTTGCTGCCAGGTGTTGTCATGCAGATATTCAATGTGACCAATTCCAAAAGAGGACTGGGTAGGTTCATGCAAGATTGGTGGCAACTAAACTTGATAAGTGCTAACCACCTCCTGGGTCATCCATGCATGGATTGCTAGAGAGCAATCGTGGAATAACCCATTGCTCTCCAGTCAGTTTAGTCAATATTTTATCCATCTTCTCAGTAGAAGACAAGCAGCACCTCATGCTTAACTCCCTGAAATCAACAAGTCTTAAACATACTTATCTGTGGCTGGATTTTGTCAGAATCTTTGCCATCTGACCTGTAGCAGAATTTTTTCTGGTATCTATGTCTAATGCCATTCTGGTCATTTCTGAATACAGAACAGAAGTCAGAATACATACCAGGAAACTATTTATAGTTCCTGAAGCTTCTCAAAACCATGCTCCCCAATTGAGATAATTTTTCCTTGGCATGAAAAAAAATAGAAATTGAGTATACTTTTGCTTGAAGTTAGTAAACATTAACTTTAATTTAAATGAAATGTATTATTCTTTATTAAAGTTAACACATACACTCCCTCGCAAGGAAGACGCAAGTAGATCTTGCCTGCTAATAATAGTAACACAAGATCACCATATCCATTGCTGTTTTTTTTTTTAATTGTAGCTCCAGCTGTTAAAAGTTCTTACTCATCTGGGAGTAGAATGGGTGTATGCTTTTGTGGCTCTCTTCTATTTCTTTCTGCATAAAATAATTGGAGAGAAACAAAAGACTGACTGAGGGATGGGAAAGTCCATCTGTTTTTCTCCAAGCCCTTTTGGTCAATCACTTCTGTTAGATAACAGAACGAAGATACCATATTTTCTACTTGGTCCCCTCCTAAACTGACCTGCTATCCATGGCTTAGGTTGACAATACTGGCTTAGATTGAATGGGAAAGAGCAAATTCTCCTATTCTATGACAAAAAATATCCCTGATATAGAGATTTTATTTTGTCAGAGAATAGGAGATATAAGTAAGGCCAAGCCACTTTCTATGTGAACGTAGTTACCCTTCTATGATCAGAGCATCACGTGAAATTTGCAGTGGGAATATTTAACTTTCTATCTGTACTGCTATTTGATTTCACTTACATATTGTTTTAGTAATTCTAGAATTCATGAAGAATGAGCATGTGTTACAAGCTGATGGTCATTTGTTACCACTGATGTAATTTATTTTTACTTCCTTTCAGCCTACCTGAACAAACTATTTCTAATGTTATAGTATTCCTATATAGTTTCTTTGTGTAGAGGAACATATGTATAAGGTTAGAAATATGCTGTTTACACAATTTATATACATATATATATATATATATGTTTTCTGAGGTTCTCGCGGGTATTTGTATGTGGATCTTTGGTTGTTCGGGTTTTCTCCCGCGTAAGATTCGAAGTAT